TTTAAGGTAGGTAACACTCTTGTCAATCTCTGTCGGTCTCTCTTATAATCTTACCATGTCTTACCATCTCTCTTACCATGTCTTGTTAACTTATTCTCTACAGAACTAATAATGTTTTGTATATTAAACATACTTAAGAAAACTATGTACTTAGCAACTGAAGGGTTATCAATATCTAGTCAAAGCTTTTATACCTTATCTGTGTCCAAATTCTATTTGGACAATTTTAATTATATGGTCTTGGGTATGTGTGACCTTTCACGTGTTTTATATATTGAATGAGATAGGAAAGCACAGCTACAGTGCCCAACACATAGTAGGAACTTTTCAAATTATAGTTATTATCTCTAAGAGATAAAACTACTTTTACTTAATAAATTGCAACTGCATTGCTGTATTTTTTTTTTCATTTTTGCAGTGCTAGGAATCAATTCTAGAGTTTTATGCACGCTAGCCAAGTAGCATACTATTGTGCCGTATCTCCAGTCCCATTATATCAAATAGCACAACTAAATTTTGATTTAAAAAAAATCATTTAGATATAATATGTAAGTGTGTGTGTGAAAGTGGATGTGGATGTATCTCAAAAGTGTATCAACTGGGCTGGGAAGGTGGCTCAGTGGTAGAGCGCTTGCCTTGCATGCATGAGGCCCTGGGTTCGATTCCTCAGCACCACATAAGCAAAAAGAAAAAAAAAAAAAAAAAAAGTGTATCAACTGCCTAATGCCCAATGTTTGGTTTGATCTCCAGCACCTCAAAAAAAAAAAAAAAAAAAAAAAAAAACAAGGTTGGGGAGAGGCACAGGACATATCATGTGTTTCAATAAGTATTTATTGACAAGTCTCAGTCTTAATCATGAACTTTTTATTAATTTTGTTCAAGAATTTAATATAAAAATTTAAAAATTCCTATAGGGTCCTCATCACTTAAGACTCCTTTGCCTTTCCTTTTACTGACTCATTTCTGTTACAAAGCCATGCATGGTGCATGGGAGGCAATTGAGAGGCAAAGGCAAAAAAATCATGATTTTGAGGCCAACCTGGGATATGTGGTAAGACCTCATCTCAAAGAAAAACAAGGTATGCGACAGACATCACTTTATCTTCTGTATAATCATATAACCAGATTCTTTTTTGTATGTGTGCCAGTCCTGGGGTTTGAGTTCAGGCCCTGGACAATGTCTCTGAGCTGTTGTGCTCAAGGGCAGCATTCTACCACTTGAGTCACAGCTCCACTTGTAGCTTTTTTTTTTTTTTCCTGTCGGTCATGGGGCTTGAATTCTGGGCCTTGGCACTGTCCCTATCCTCTTCAGCTCAAGGCACTTGGGCCACAGGGCCACTTCCAGTTTTCTGGTAGTTAATTGGAGGGAAGAATCTCATGGCCTTGCCTGCCTGGGCTGGCTTTGAACTGTGATCCTCAGATCTCAGCCTCCTGAGTAGCTAAGATTACAGGAGTGAGCCCCAGCTAATTCTAACTTTTTGATGGTTAGTTGGAGGTTAGTCTTATGGACTTTTCTGCCCAGGCTGGCTTTGAATTGAGCTCTTCAGGTCTCAGCTTCATGAGTAGCTAGGATTACAGGCGTGAACCACCTGTGCCTGGCTCATATTACCACATTTAAGTCACTTTAAAAAGAACCCTACCACTGGGTGCCAATGGTTCACGCCTATAATCCTAGCTACTCTGGAGGCTGAGATCTAAGAATCACAGTTTGATACCAGACTGGGCAGAAAAGTGCATGAGACTCTTTATCTTTAATAACCTACCAAAAAGCTAGTAGTGGATCTGTGGTTCAAGTGGTAGAGTGCTAGCTTTAAGCAAAAGTAGCTCAGGAATAGTACTCAGGCCCTAAGTTCAAGCCCCAAAACTAGCACAAAAGAAGAACACTTCCGGATCTTTGTTAATCAAGCCAGGTAGAAGTGTCAAATGGTACTTCAGTTATAAACGTTTTATTGTGGGTGTGTGGAAGAAAGGGAGACACAAAATTCAAGACAGAAAAAAAAATTTCATGGACTTTTTAAATTCAAAAAATTAAACTTGTATTTACTGAGCTCCTCCAAAGTAAAAAAAAAAGTTAACTTTTATGCTTCTGTTACTACTTTATTGAATAGAAGATAATAAAATAATCATTTCTTTTTTCTTTTTCTTTTTTTTGTCAGTCATGGGGCTGAACTCTGGGTCTGGGCGCTGTCCCTCAGCTCTTCAGCTCACGGCTAGCACTCTACCATTTGAGCTACAGTGCTACTTCTGGCCTTTTCTGTTTATGAGATGCTGAGGAATCAAACCAAGGGCCTCACACATGCAAGGCAAGCACTCTACCACTGAGCCACCTTCCCAGCCCTAAAATAATCATTTCTTTATGACATCAAATATATTAATATTTGGGTTAAAGAAACAATATATACGAAACATTTTCTAGTTTGTGTGTGGTGATCTATATTTGTAATCATAGCACTAAGGAGTTTAAGGCAGGAGGATCCTTAGTTCATGGATGGTCTGGATTACATAGTAAGATCCCTGCCTGTCTGGGAAAAAAAAAAATAAAATTCTAGTCTTTGATCTGAAATTTTAAGTCTACCACTTACACTGTGGTACTTACACTATGGTACTAGAATCATGTGCCCATTCAGAGTCATAAATGGTGACTGCTTAATTATTCTTTATTAGGGTAAAGATAACACAGGATTCTAGGCAAGCAATTTTCTACTCACTTCTTGATGACATATTTTGACTTGTACCCCAGGAGAAAGTACAATGAAGATTTTAATCTCAACTCTACCCATTGTTCTCTTGGGCTTGGGGAATGCTTACACAGAGCCTGTATTCTCTGTCCCAGCCAAGATTTATCTGGATTAGGATGTACCTAATTTTGGATGCTTTTGAAACCAAAGTCCTGGGCTGCATAATATTTCAGTCAATGATGACCTACACATAATTACCATGGTAGTCCTGTCAGATTATAATGCATTTAAAAATTCCTACTGACAATTTAGCCATTATAACATTAAAGTCACATGAGTTACTTATACATTTGTGATGTTGCTACTGATGTAAACAAACCTATTGGCAAAGTCAGTCTTATAAAGTTATATATGGAACATAGTAATGATGATCAATACAACTATTTCTGGTCTATGTATTTACTTTTCTTTCTTTTTTTTTTTGTATTTACTTTTCTTATTGGTTAAGAGTGCACTCCTACTACTTAGTAAAGAAATAGTTTAAGCTGGGTGCTGGTAGCTGTAATCCTAGCTATTCAAAAGGATAAGATTTGAGGATCATGGTTCAAAGTTTGCCCAGGCAGGAAGGTTTGTGAAACTCTTACTTCCAATTAACTTGTGGTTCAAGTGGTAGAGTGCCTTGAGCAAAATAGCTCAGGGGCAGCACCCAGGACTGGCACAAAACCAAAAAAAACCCCACTTGACTGTATGAACAGTATTGAATGTTATGCCAGTGGCAGTCCCAAGTATTTTATATTACCACACCTCTTGATTGCTGAGACAGCTTTGAATGAGTGACTTTGTGTAAGTATATTCTACAATGTTCTCACAAAGAAACTAATGACTCAGTTCTCAGAACATATCCCCATCATTAAGCAGCTGTGCATGACTGTACTTGGCACTGCCTCTTAACAGCTTTCATCAATAGTAAGGTGGCATTTGAGTCTTCATCTGCCTGTATTTAAAAGGCATGCCATTGCCGGGCACCAGTGGCTCAAGCCTATAATCCTAGCTACTCAGGAAGCTGAGATCTGAAGATCTCAGCCAGGGTAGGAAAGTCTGTGAAACTCTTATCTCCAATAAACCACCAGAAAACCGGAAGTGGTGCTTTGGCTCAAGTGGTAGAGCGCTGGCCTTGAGCTGAAGAGCTGAGGGACAGCACTCAGGCCCAGAGTTCAAGCCTCATGACCGGAAAAAAAGAAAAGAATAAAGGAATGCCATTTGAGGACTTTAACACAAAACAATGAACATCAATTTCTTTTTTTATTTAACAGCTCTTTTCCTCATTCTTTGTCAGTGCAAATAATAAACAGAATCATCAAAGCACAGAACCAAGAGAAATTGAAGCACCTTTATGGCAATCTCACTACACAGTAAAGTGAAACAGCATGTTTTCACTTGATCAAACATGATAAATAAATCAGCCCACTGGGATATTTCAAGGCATCAATTTTTTTGTTCTAACTTGTTCAAGTATGGATAATCTCAGAAGTCAAAAGGCAGAGGTAGGAGGATGTCCAGTTTCAAGCTAGTCTGTGAGAAGTGAGAACTTGTCATGAAGGAAGGAAGGGAGGGAGAGAAGGAGGGAGGGAAGGAGAGAGAGGAAAGGAAAAGGCTGGACACCAGTGGCTCATGCTGAGATCTGAGGATGGAATTTCAAAGCCAGCCCAAGCAGGAAAGTCCGTAAGACTCTTATGGTTAAATGACTACCAAAAAGCTGGAAATGAAGCTGTGGCTCAAGTGGTAGGGCACCAGCCCTAAGGAAAAAGGGACAGTGCCCAGGCCTTAAGTTCAAGTCCCAGAACTAACACCAATATACATACACAGACAAATAAATTATGTAAGTAAGTGTGGATGCTTACTCCTCTCATCCTAGCTACTTTTGCTCAAGCAACAGTTATGGAGATGGTAAATGCATGCAATCCCAGCTATGTGGGAGGCATATGTTGTAGGATATGTTAAGGCCAGCCCCAGGCAAAAATGTGAGCCCCTATCTGAAAATTAACCTAAGCTAGGTGCCAGTGGTTGGATACTAGTTACTCAGAAGGCTGAGATCTGAGGATCAAGGTGCGGCCCAGGCAGAGAGATTTGAGACTCTTATCTCCAACTGACCAGCAAAGATACAGAACTAGAGGTATGGCTCAAGTGGGAGAACACCAGTCTTGAGCTAACCAAGTGTCAAGCCCTGAGTTCAAATTTCCACACTGTCAAAAAAATTTAAATTGTTGTGCAACTTGTTTAACCTCAGAAATATATGTGATCCTTTGAACTTTCAACAAACTTGAAGCAAATAAGGTTAAAACTGTTAACTATATTAAACACTTTTTTAGCTTGTCTAAAATACAAAGGTCAACTCAAACAATTTCTTTTTTTTTGTTGGTTGTGGGGCCTGAACTCTGGGCACTGGGCACTGTCCCTCAGCTCTTCAATTCAAGGCTGGCACTCTACCACTTAAGCCACAGCGCCACTTCCAGCTTTTTCTGGTTATATGGTGCTGAGGAATCGAATCCAGGGCCTCGTGCATGCAAGGCAAGCACTCTACCACTGAGCCACCTTCCAGCCCCAATTTTTTTAGTCTTATATTTACAGTGTTGCAAATAAAAAAATGTCATTCTTCATATTGTTCTGTAAAACACTGAATTATAATTATTTCAAAAGTGTAAGCTAAAAAGCACTTTATTCCATGATCCTAGCTATAGTAAACAATGAAGAACACATGAGCATAGCTCTACTATCCACCAATACTAACAGCAGACTATTCTACTTCAGAAACTGTAAATACTGCTACTCAATGCAAAGGGAAACTTAAATGCTACCTAAAAATACAAATGAGCCAAATATTAAGTGCTAAAAGTTGATTTCTAATTGAAGGAAGTGGCACTGTGGCTCAAGTAGTAGAGCACTAGCCTTGAGCTGAAGAGCTGAGGGAAAGTGCCCATGCCCAGAGTTCAAGCCCCATGACCAACAAGGAAAAAAAGAAAGAAAATTGAAAAATTAAGTATATACTGGTAAAATTTGCAAAATTTCAAAACATAATGAATTAACTTCTCCGATATGTTTAAAACTTACCTTCCTGGGGGGATGTTATCCAAAAAGAAATGTACTCTTTACCTGATTTATATAACTCCTTTGTACATTTCCTTTATAAAACAATAATTTAAATAAAAAGACTTACCTTCCTCTGTTTCTACTGGTTGCTGAGAAAGAATTTTAAGAAGAATTGGATTTTTCCACACCCCTTCCTTAGTTACATGAACCAGTATTTGTAGATTATTATTCCCAAATTCCAATAATGCATCATGTGACTCCTAAAAAGGAGCAAATGAACAAATTCAGAAAACAAGCTAAAAATGAGCATAAGAAGTAGTTTCACCTTTTCAATATATCTGAGCTATAAATAGAAAGATCTAGATTTGGTTTTCCTAAAACACAGACACACAAAACCACAAAGCTGGTATTAAAGCTTTAAGTCATGCCATATTTTACAAAAACCAGGACCCTTTCAACTAAAGATTTTTTTGGCAGTATTAGGGCTTGACCTCAGTGCCTTGTACTTAATAAACAGGTACTTTTTTCCTTTGGTCAGTTGTGGGGCTTAAACTCAGGGCTAAGGCACTGTACTTGAAGCTCTTTTGCTCAAAACTAGCACTCTACACCACTTGGATTCACAGCACCACTTCCAGTTGTCTGGTGGCTAATTAGAAATAAGAGTCTTAAAGAATTTCCTACTTGTGAATTGCAAATCTCAGCTCTCAGTCTCATTAGTAGCTAGGATTTCAGGCATGAGCCACCAGTACTTAGCTAAAGAATACTTTTAAGAGCCAGATGCCAATGGCTCACACCTGTAATCCTAGATACTGAGGAGGCTGAGATCTGAGGATAGAGTTTCAAAGCCAGCTCACAAGTCCTTAAGACTCTTATCTCCAATTAACCACCAAAAAGCTGGAAGTGCTGTAATTCAAGGTAGACCACTATCCCTGAGCAAATAAAAGAAAAAACAAAAACAAAAAAAGCTCAGGGATAGCTCCCAGGCCAGCATCAAAGAAAGAGAATACTATTAAAAATGTTTAACTTAAGGGCTTGGAATGTGGCTTAGTGGTAGAGTGCTTGCCTAGCATGCATGAAGCCCTGGGTTCAATTCCTCAGTACCACAAAAACAGAAAAAGCCAGAAGTGGTGCTGTGGCTCAAGTGGTTGAGTGCTAGTCTTGAGCAAAGAAGCTCAGGGACAGTGCCCAGGCCTCAAGTTGAAGCCCCCAGGACTGGCACCAAAAAATAAAAAATAAAAATAAAATTTACCTTGATTTTATTCAGGTAAAATGATCACTACAATAAATTAGATCCTAAAATTAATATTGAATATTTACTGTGCCACAATCAAAATGGCCAGATTCTCATTGCAGGAGCTGATTTAACTATTTTAAAGTCATTGGTACAGCTTTCATGTAAATGAAAGTAAGTATTCTTAGCCTACTTCCTTCAGCCAAAAATATTACTTAAATATTCATTAAATATACTGTTGTACAATTATTTAAGTTCTATTATTATTCAAGTAAGAGGTGGCTCTATATAAAATGCTATAAAAAGTCTAGTTCATTAGCAGTTATTTTACCTCCTCAGCATAGGAAAAACAATGTAATTGCCAATAGGTACTCTTCAAAGTACTTACACACAAAGGGAGAAGGAAAAGGGGGCAGAAATTGAATACTATAGAAATGGTCAAGTATATGTCTCCATGCCCTTTGCTACTAGAAGGGATTATGGATTATAGTGATCTTGTTTCTATTTTCCAGATTTTTAGCTTGTTTCCGTGTGTGTGTGTGTGTGTGTGTGTGTGTGTGTGTGTGTTAGTGTGTGTGAGTGTGTGCGTGTGTGTGTGTGTACTGTCTCTGAGCTTTTTTTTTTTCCTCTTTAAGGCTAGCATTATTCCACTTAAGTTACCATTCTCGATTTCTGGCTTTTCTGGTAGCTAATTGGAGATAAAAAGTCTCACGAACTTTCCTGCTAGGTCTGGCTTCAAACCACGATCCTTGAATCTTAACCTCCTGAGTTTACAGGTGTGAAACATCAGCACCCAGCCTTGTTAAAATGCTTATTTTAAAATGCTTAAATTCTCTAGGAACATAAACTTCTTTTTACAGTAATACAAGATAGAAATATTTCCATATCTAAGAATTTAGTTTTATATTAAGTCAAATAAAACAGAACATATAAATCCCCATCTTGACATCCAAATTATATTAAGACAGACTTATACTACACCCCTAGATTCACCCCCTGCTAAGATATCTTCTACTAAAAAAGAATTTAGGAAATGTGGTATAGTGCTTGCCTAGCATGCATGAAGCCCTGGGTTTGATTTCTTAGTACCAAATAAACAGAAAAAGCCCGAAGTGGAGCTGTGGCTCAAGTGATAAGAGTGCTAGTCTTGAGCCAAAGAAGCTCAGGAACAGTGCTCAGGCCCTGAGTTCAAGCTCCAGGACTGGCAAAAAAAAAGGAAAGGGAAAAGGAAAGGGAAAGGGAAAGGGAAGGAACTGCTGCATAGGGCGATGCACAACCTTAATGCCAGCACTCAAGAGGCTGAGGCAGAAAGATTGAAAGTTCCAGGCTAACCTGGGCTGCATAGATTTCAAGGCCAGTTTGGATTATACAGTGACACCCTATCTAGAATAAAAAGACATGAAAATTAGACTCCCAATCAACAGTTTACTAACAGCAATATTTAATTATCAATCATTTGAGTTAGATATTAATGTTGTAAGTTCCCTTTAATATCTTGATATACTCAGAAGATCTTTCTCATCTTAGGCCACCGATTTTCCAATAAAAATCAAGATTCTGTGTGAAATTTTCAGAATTTCCTGTCTCAACTTATCAAATTTACAATACATAGAAAATGTGTGCGGGGGGGGCGGGGGAGAGGGTAGAAGGGGGGACTAGGAAGGTGGCTCAGTGGTAGAGCACTTGCCTTGCATGCATCAGGCCCTGGATTTGATTCCTCAGTACCACATAAGCAGGAAAAAAAAAAAAGCCAGAAGTGGTGCTATGGCTCAAGTAGTAGCGTGCTAGTCTTGAGCTGAAAAGCTGAGGGACAGTGCCCAGACCCAGAGTTCAAGTCCCACAACAATAACAACAACAAAAGTTTTTCTTTTAAATGTTTTCTCACTCCTCACTCCTCCCTCTAAATTTGATTTTGTTTTTTTGTGACAAGGAATCACTATATTCCCCAGGCTAATCTAGAACCAGCTTCCCAAAAAAGCTGGAAGTAAAGGCATATATCACCACACTTAATTTTAAGGTTTGTTTTTTTTCCCATTTGTTAAAGCTAGAAATTCAGTACACTCAGAATAAGAATAGTATAAGGGCTGGGAATGTGGCTTAATGGTAGAATGCTTGCCTAGCATGCGTGAAGTCTGGGTTCAATTCCTCAGTAACACATAAACAGAAAAAGCCAGAAATAATACTGTGGCTCAAGTGGTACAGTGCTAGCCTTGAGCAAATGAATCTCATGGACAATGCTCAGGCTCTGAGCTCAAGTCCCAGGACTGGCAAAAAAATAAAAAATTTTAAAAATATAAAAATTCTGTGTTAAAAAATCTTAAAAAAAAAAACAAGTCTGTGTTGCTGGAAACACAAATGACCCTCCAGTATCAGAAAATGAATATACAAGCCAGGCACCGGTGGCTCATGCCTGTAATCCTAACTACTCAGGAGGCTGAGATCTGGGGATCATGGTTCAAAGCCAACCAGGGAAGGAAAAGTCTTTGAGACTCTTATCTCCAATAAACCATTCGGAAAACCGGAAGTGGAGCTGTGGTTCAAATGATAGAGCACTATCCTTGAACTGAAGAGCTGAGGGACAACGCCCAGGCCCAGAGTTCAAGCCCCACAACCAACAAAAAAAAAAAAAAGAAAGAAAATGAATACACACACACACACACACACACACACACACACACAAGAGATATAGGAGATTTCATCAAGGCATTTTACTTCTATACAGAACAGTGGTCTGCAACATTCCCTAGAGTTAAGGGGAGGAACACTGGGTTAGATGGTCTGCTCAGTTTTTATCCTAACCCACAGGGTGACACTGTCTCTTCTTTTCCTTGTTGCTAAGGAGTCAGGCTCATAATTTATTTATTTATTTTGATAATTGGTTACCAGGGTAATGGTATAATACAAGGAAGTCAGAAAGTACTCTCACGGGGCTGGGAATGTAGCTAAGTGGTAGAGGCTTGCCCAGTATGCTTGAAGTCCTGGGTTTGATTCCCCAGTACCACATACACAGAAAAAGCCAGAAGTTGTGTTATGGCTCATGCAAGAGAAGCTTAGGGACAGTGCCAGGCTCTGAGTTCAAGTCCCAGGAGCAAAAAAAGAAAAAAAGCACTCCAACTATCAGTGAAAGGTCCCAATTGGGGTAGGGGCTGTCCTTTTGGGAGGCAAAAGCACACATTCATCTCATCACAACTGGTTGGAAATGGGGCTGGAGACAGGGCTAGGGATGGGACTACCGATTACAGCTGGAGGAGGTTGGTAAAGTCATTGGGAAGTTCCCATTCAAGGGGGGTGGGGGTGGGGTCTATTCCTTAACTTCATACATTTGACATGGCTGCCTGATCGTAACTATCATCTGTGTTGTTTGTAATCAAATGTTTTCAGGAAATTATCAGTAACAGGAAATATCAGTACAGAATGGTACGACTGGTTACAAGATGGAGACATTTTAGTTTGACAGAAAGGATTGCTTTTCTAACATCAGACTAGAGAAATAGCTCAGTAGTGTACTTGTACTAGACACTGGGCTCTATACCCTTAGAATAAATAAATAAATAAATATTCATTCCAGAGCGTGCACCTTATTTCTATATAGGAAAAAGGTATGGAAATCACCATAAACACTAAGTAAAACTATTCTATTTGCAGCTTGATTTGATAAAAACTACTCTTCCTAAAAGTATGCTCAACACCAATTGCTGTCTTCTCCATTTATCACATAAAAAAGAGTAGAGTTTTCATTTCTAGATTTCAACAGGGACCATGTCTCACATTTATCTGTACTCCCACATCATAAATTTTACTAATACACATACAAAATATATATATATATATATATATATTACATGTCTGATAAGTACTGAAAGAAGGCATTGATTTTTGCTCAGGCAAACAATTTAAGAAGACAATAAAGTAATATGAAAATACTATCTCTAAAGAAAATATTAACAAAAAAGACTAATAGTACTAATAAAATAAATGTATCTGCCCTTCTAGAATACCATACAACAAAACAAATTACCTATAGGCCTTATAGGCCTGATCTATTAAAAAACATAATCCCAGCACTCAGGTTTCTGAGGCCAAGAGGATTACCAATTCCAGTCCAGCTATGCTACACAGCAAGATCCTGTCTCAAAAAAACAAGCAAAAAAAAAAAAAAAATCAGGGCTGGGAAGGTGGCTCAGTGATAGAGTGCTTGCCTTGCGTGCATGAGGCCCTGGGTTCGATTCCTCAGCACCACATAAGCAGAAAAAGTTGGAAGTGGTGCTGTGGCTCAAGTGGTAGAATGCTAGCCTTGAGCTGAAGAGCTGAGGGACAGCATCCAGGCCCAGTCTTCAGGCCCACAACAACAACAAAAAAATCAACATGTTATGCATGAAAGACAATTTTAGCAGCTATACAAACATGTGAGAAATTAGGAATGAATATTTAACCATAGACCAAGAACAGAACAAAGAATCCTCTTCTCCCCAAAGAAAAACATTAAAAGAATGTGTTTCAGAAGATAAGAATTAATATATAATGAAGAATGTTTGTTAATATGAAAATTTTTACTTGTGCATACTGGAAAGCTACTATGGAGTTTGTGTCCTGGAGTAAATACTTTACAAAGTAATCTATGGGTTTTCAATGGGGGTGCTATTGTGGACAAGTTAGTTAACCTCTCTGTCTCCCCATATATACACAAAGAGGCGGATAACTATTGTATTATAAAGTTTGATGAAAGAATATAAAGTATATGTAGCACCAGAGCAGTGAATAAAATTAGTGATCAATAAACAAATAATTGCTATTACTTATTATGTCTATTTTTTAAATACTTTCTTCTGTCCCCATCACTGACAGGCATATTGTCTCCTGTTGTTGTAATTTCTTGATATTTTTCCCATACCATTCTCTCTAACTTGCCACTTTCTCATCTACACAGAAAGGTGATAATCAAGTCAATATGAAAACCCCAATAGTTCTTCTGTAAGTAAAATGCATGAACAGAATGGCAATTATGGTTCCTTGTGAAACTTACAAAGCTTGGGAAAATCTTCAAAGTATTGGGGGGAAAAATAAACCTCAAATGTGATAAATATGGTATTCTGTATACTGAAAGTTACTATGAAAGTACACAAATATGCTACCTTACAACCATATATTCTATTTTTCTACTTATGTTATATTTATTCTATTTTAAATGCATATATATTTATAAATTTATATATTGTATGTTTATATATATTCATATTTCTTTTTTTTTTTTCAAATTCTTTATGGTGATTAAGTGGTTACATAATTTCCCAAATTTCACAGTATTGTGGGATAGTGATGTTTAAAGTCACAAACACATTCTAACTTTGGGGGCAAACTGTCTATCGTGGTCTATGACTTTTATGAGTTCTATGAGCTTTGACAATACAGCTATTTTTTCCACATCAGGTGATATATACATTTCTTTCGTTTTCCATAGCGTTAGCTGTTCTCTCGTTCCCACTTGTTCCCTCCCTCCCATCGCTGACATTGAGTTGCTTAGTTCATTTTGATCAATGTCCAGTGCAGCTGATGGATCCCACTGTTGTATGTTATTCACATTTATTTCTATTCTATTTTATTCTATTTTTTTTTTTGGGGGGGGGGGGGGTCTGGTTGTGGGGCCTGAACTCTGGGCCTGGGCTCTGTCCCTCAGCTCTTCAGCTCAAGGCTAGTGCTCTACCACTTGAGCCACGGGGCCACTTCCGGCTTTTTTCTTTTTGCTTATGTGGTGCTGAGGAATTGAACCCAGGGTCTCATGCATGCAAGGCAAGCTCTCTACCACTGAGCTACCTTCCCAGCCCCTATTCTATTTTTAATGGAAACTTTTTCTTGATTTCTAAAGTATGTAAAGACAAAATTAAATGAAACAACATTATTTCTTCTTTTACGGAGACAGTTTCCTAGACTGTCTGAACTCATGAACCACTAGTGTCAGCCTTCTAAGTGCTGAGATTACAGATATATCAGTAAGCCCACATTAAAAACAAAAAACTTGGAATGTGGCTTAGTGGTGGAGTGTTTGCTTAGCGTGCATGAAGCACTGGGTTCAACTTTCTTGGTATCATATAAACAAAAAAATTTTTTAAATTAACTATATATATATATATATGTGTGTGTATGAAAGAAAAGCTAGTATTTTTTTAAGTTTTAACATACTCTTTTGGCTGGTAGAAATAATTTTTCTTACCTCATGAACTTAATGCCAATATATAAGGAATTAATTTTTTAGGTTACCAATTTTAGTTTGCTGGGAGTAACTAAGTATCCTGAATTCCTATACAGAGACCTTTTAAAAAAATAAAATAAAAATTGACTAATGTGGAGCTGGGTACCAGTAGCTCACACCTGTAGTCCTAACTAATGGAGAGTCTGAGACCTGTAGGAAAGTGGTTCAATGCCAGTCTGGGCAAAAAAGTCTGCAAGACTCCATTTCCAAATAACCAGCAAAATGCCAGACTAGAGATGTGGCTCAAATAGTAGCACTCATCATAAGCAAGAAATCTAAGTGAGAATTTAAGATCCTGAGTTCAAGCCCTGGTAATATCCCCAGCCCAAAATTTTGACTCACCTGTAGAGATTGAAGGAATGGGACCCAGACTTCACATGGCAGTTCACTTTCAGACACTGAAAGTAGTAATTCAAAACAACTCCTACAATACAGATAAGTATATAAAGGTGGTTATAGCAGTAATTATAATACAAAGCAACACTGAACACGCATTTCACATTTGTTTAGATTATTCTGAGCTGTTTTACTTAGTCAATTTTTTGTTGGAGGGGAGTGACACAGATCAAGATGCATTGTATTCATATACTGCTTTGTTAAATACCTCCCTTGTACAAGTACTTAAAGATAATTTTTAAAAAAGAAAATACTTTTAAAGTGAAAAAATCCACAAGTTTTTACATTCACATTGTTGCTTTAATACATTTAGTTAGAACATATACCCTTATATTCTAAGTTGGTTTATTTAGCTTGCTTGGGTAGAGGAGGGCAAGGCACCCATAGGAACAATTCTGACTCTACAAGTGAAAAATAGGAGCACATGTTAGTATGATTTTAGGTGACAAGAGTGATAAATATATGCAACTGTTGCCAATGTAGGTTTCTGTCCCTTGTAGAAGCAGAATAGTTGGGAAAGTTACTTTTTTATTTCTAATAAACCATGCAAGACAAAAATAGTTTCTTTGCTGGGCATCGCAAGGTTCATACCCATAATCCTAGCTACTCAAGAGGCTGAACTCTAAGGATCACAGTAGAGATAACCCAGGCAGGAAAGTCCATGAGACTCTTATCTCCAATTAGCCACTACAAAACCATAAATGGCACTTGGCTCAAAGTGATAGAGCACTAGCCTTGAGCACAAAATCTCAGGACATGAGTTCAAGTCCCAGGACTGGCACACACAACAATTTTTTTTCCTTCTTTCTACTGTAAACATTACCTATGCATAAGGAAGAAGTGGCAGGAAGGATTTTTAAAAAGAAAACATAACTACTTGAATAAAGAACTCAAAGTACCAATCAAGCAATACTTCTCTAAAATCCTACTTTACCCCTTAGAGATTAGGATAGGTAACAGAGAAAATGAGGTTTGGTGGGAGAAACAATGGGATTACAAAACCAAGAATGCTTACATTCCATATAGATATATTGGCTTTAGAGAATACTTGGCTTTAGAGAATAGGATGGAAAACAGGTTAGGCCAGAGAGGGGGAAATGAACCACAGAGACTAAAAATCACCCACTAAACAATTTAATGCAATCCTAAACCTCAAAGTCCCTGTAGTTTTTCAATCTGCGGGTATATAATTCACTAAAGGTGTAATTCTGTCTTTATGAAAGCAACAGCTAAAATGACCAAAAACTCATTTTTTTTTTTTTTTGGGGGGGGGGGGGGGTAGTCCGGTCATGGGGCCTGAACTCTGGACTGGGTGCTGTCCCTCAGCTCTTCGGCTCAAGGCTAGCGCTCTGCCACTTAAGCCACAGCGCCACTTCCGGTTTTTTTTTCTTTTTGCTTATGTGGTGCAGAGGAATCGAACCCAGGGCCTCAGGCATGCAAGGGAAGTACTCTACCACTGAACCACCTTCCCAGCCGGACCAAAGACACTTATAATGTACTTTTATAGTTTTCTTCTGGTAACATTATTCTTAGTTCAAATAATGTTCTTCAGAGGCAACCATAATTTCCAGATACTCAGTCATCTGAATCAATCTGTGATGGTTATTCTTTTTTTCTGGTAGGTCATGAGGCTTGAACTCAGGGCCTGGATGCTGTCCTTGAGCTATTTTTTGCCCCAGGTTAGCGCTCTGTAGTGGTTGATTCTGTTGGCTTGATTAGATTAGGAGATACCCAGAGGACGAGTGAAGCACACCTGAGTGTGTTTCCAGGCAACTAAGGAGGGAAGATCTGCTCTGAAAGTTTGGCAGCATTCTTCCTTCTATAGATC